TTCGGAAATTACTAGTGAATTTCTGGGCGTGACAGACACACCTCGAACCCTACCCCTATGCTCAAGAGTATCCAGTGCCGTACTTAGCACATCTTTCTCCATCTTTGGCCTAAAAGCTCATTTCTTCTGTGCACTGGATAAATTCTCTATTTTATCGGCCACCCCCTGCAGCTCCGGATCTTCAAATGATACTTTGCCTTTATCCGTGATCTTAGGAGTTCTAGCTCTTACCCAGTTCCTTGATATCTGTGTCCATTCCTCCATTGGTACCGGTTGCCCCGCCTTCCTCATTTCCTCCTCCTCTTTTGTCCACTGCTCCACCTTTGGTGCGTATCCCGTGGAGCCTAAGCGATGAGGAAATTTGTTCTTCTTGGCCAACTCTGAAAACTTTTTGCTCCTTTCAATTTCTTCCGGGGAGTTATTGAACGTCAGAAAGTCGTCCCACTGCTTCGGGGTTATGTTGGCATACGTCAAAGACCATACCTGCATGCGAAAATGGAACCCCTATGATGCCGAAAATGTGTTTTCTAGAAGTGTCATCATATAGCTCATTCCAAATGTGCGAGACTAAATTATCTATGTAATATTTAATATTAAAAAAATAAAGTTTGCACCATTATATATTTACCCAATAAATAAATAATGTAAGATAGAGAATAAACTCCCTGTAAAAACATTCTCAAGCTGCCATGTGGCTCCCTCAAAACGCTCTCATGTTGCCACATGACACTCTAATAAAATAGAGAAATCTAACCATCAATTTTCATTTAAATAGCTCATTCCAAATGTGCGAGACTAAATTATCTATGTAATATTTAATATTAAAAAATAAAGTTTGCACCATTATATATTTACCCAATAAATAAATAATGTAAGATAGAGAATAAACTCCCTGTAAAAACATTCTCAAGCTGCCATGTGGCTCCCTCAAAACGCTCTCATGTTGCCACATGACACTCTAATAAAATAGAGAAATCTATCCATCAATTTTCATTTAAATAGGCTCATTATTTTAAATCGTTAGATCTATCTAAAAAATCAAAACCTCCCACCAGCCCCACCTCCGTGCAGTACGCACGTACTGCTCCCCTGTTCCGTTCTCCTTTTTTCCCCTGTGTTCCTTTCTTTTCTTTTTTCAATCACAATTAAAATCAAACTTATCTTTATAGAAAGAATACCCCCATAAATGTTAAAGTCTATTAAATATCATATAAATGTTTCTAATCGTTGTGTGGCACTTTTGAATTAGAGAAACATCGAACCATTGGTTTCCACTAAAATCGTTATTTGATCTGTATTAACCTAAAGTGAAGCGTTCCTAAGCCACCACATGCCACTCTAACAAATAACCGTTGATTTTCATTATATTTGATGGACCCATTATTTACAACCATTAGATTTATCTTTAATAAAAAGTTAACCACCCAAACCTAACCCCACCCATCCTGTAGATAGTACGTACGTACTTATATCTCATTTACAACTACCTATTATATATGAAAATAATAATAATATACCTCATATATTATTATTATTATTATTATTATTATTATTATTATTATTATATGTTGACAGTAACATATATATCACGTGTCTGCCCTTCTCTCTACTTTCTATTATGTAGCTAGCAATTCAAGGTAAACATGATGAGCTAAATTGTCATGATTTAATTTATAATTAAACAAATTAATTTAAGATCAATAAAATCCAAAAGTTCTAAGTAAAATGCAAAACATCATATTATCGATTTACACTTAAACCGATGAAAATATTATTTCGATGATTAGATTAGATTTATTAAACTAATTAATCCCTCACTCCTAATCTCCTCTGTAATTTATGATTAAAAAATTTAAAAATTTGTGAGAATCAGGCAAAATATGGCACCATAGATTTACACTTATCCTATTATTTTTAACAATTATAGATCTATTAAACTACTTAATCCCTCTGTCCTAATCTCATAGGTAATTACATAATTATAATAATTGATTCATATTACACCACCCTCTTCCTAGATTAACTCTTCATTCTCATATTTTTATACTTTATTAGTTAGAAAGAGAAATCTTCTATTATATACTAAAAGTCCATTAAACTTCGTACAAACGCTTCTAAATTACCATGTGGCATCCTACAAAACGCTACTAAACCGCTACACGGCGTTCTAAAAAACCGGTGGACCCACTATTTGTTTAATAAATCGATAGACCCACTATTGTTTAATAAATCGATAGAACCACTATTTTCAACTATTATATTTATATTTATAAAAAAATATACCAAACCTCACCCTTCTCCCAGCGGCCCATCCTATCCTCTCCTCAGTAAACGTACGTTATGTATGTATGTACGTACGTAGTGCAATGCCATGCTTTCTCCCCTCCTCCAATCCTTCTCTTCCTATTTCTAGATGAAAATTTTAACGTGTAAAAAATATTATAATAAAATTTCTAATCCTCGCTTTTCACTTAAATTAATCGGTGAACCAATTATTTTAACCATTGTCCCTGAAAAAATATTTTAACGATTATTTAAGCCGGTGAACCCATTAATCTATATATAAAAGAAACACTTCCCTAAATTTTACAATAGACCATTGTGCTTTGCATGAAAACCAAATATGAACAAACATTAAAAACCATTAGATTTTGGTATATAGATGGTTTAAACCTGTGAACCTATCAAATCTATATATAAGAAAAACACTTTCCTAACTTTGAATATATATAAAAGAAAAACACTTTCTTTGCATGACAACCAAATGAAAACAAAATATTAAAAATGGCAATATATATTATAGAGTAAATTTCACAAACCCACGTGTATATATATATATATATATATATATAGACACACACACACACAAAGTCCATCGAACATCCTAAAACCGCTCCTAAACTGTCATGTGAGATTCCTAGAAACGGTCCAAAGATGACACATGACGCTCTAATTAATTCCTAGAAAATCTATGGAAAAAGGAGAACATCTAACCATTGGTTTTATTTAATCTGGTGGACCTAATATTTTTTTACCATCAGATGCCATTATATTTATCTTTAGTAAAAAAACTTAAGATCAATCTGGCGGTACGAGTCCGCCCAACGCACGTGCATGCTTCCATCCATATGCATGATAAGAGTCTGTGTGATTTTTTCCTTGCTCGCCTCCTTTTTTTTTCTAAGGTAATTAAGTTAAGACTTAAGGGTATCTAATATCTTCTATATTCGTAAGTTAATTTCATCTTACTTTCAAAGACTGCATGCACTTGCAAATATAGACATAGATAATATATCTCATACATATTGATCTTGGTATGTTTTATAAATAAATAAAGAATCTTCAATAGCTGTAAATTTTAAATTATATATTCAATTATGATCTGTTTGAACCATTATATTTTTTTATTTAAATCAATAGTTTAATATCTATACCAACTATATTTAATTGCTAATAAAATCATTATATTTTGGACCCACATCCATACGAAAAAAATCCTAAAAGTTCTCAATAAAAATCAAAATATCCACCTTATTTTTTAATAAAATCAAAATAACCTATAAACCGTTAACCTCAACCTTAATTATAGCTTCAATGGACGTATTGACTCACAACCAACTTAATTATATCTCTCAACGTGTATGTGGATGCTATTTACTTAATCCCAATGCCTTGATAAAAGATATGATCTTCCTTTAAGGATAAATGAATGATCTTATGCTGTGTTCGACACTGAGGGTTGGGAAACCTTAATCCCTTGGAAGTTGGACATTAACTTATAGCCCAAAATACCTATATCGTGTTGCTCAAATCTAACTAATACACCAAGAATAGAAGAAGCACAGAGGGGGTGTACAGAGCTGTACTTATGGATATTTTACTAATAAAATTGATTTCAGATACTTATTTGTACTTATTAAATTATCTAATCACTAGATCAATGGAACATACTGTCCATGGAGTGAACTAATTGGAGGGCTATCCAGTGCATCCCGGTGTGCATGCATGGGTATAGAATTTTTTTCTCAGATGAAAAGAGGGGTATGAGATAGTTATATGTATTATGCATATACATGTCGGGCACTTTTTTTTCTTCTAAGTATGATGATGCGAGCATGCTGCCGGAGGCACGAATTAACATGTCCACCATCCATAGTGATGGAAGACGAATAATTTGGTTAGTTGGACTCTGCATAATATGTTAGATAATCTACATATCCGATGGTTAGAAATAATGGTCTAAAATCGAGGGTCATATATTTTGTTTTATAAATTAATTATCAATTTTTCTATATAAATCAGTAGAGCCATTAATTATATATGGTTGTGTATGCAATGTCTTTTATAAGTTAAGTTTTCTCTCTTTCCCTATGGAACTCATAATTTCCTATTAGGAATTATCCATAGCTATGACCAATTGATGTTTGCCATCAAATAATAAATTGATCATCAATTTTTTAAAAAATGGGTAGAGCCATTAATTAATGGTTGTATATGTAATGTCTTTTATAACTTAAGTTTTCTCTCTTTTCCTATGGAATCTCAAGAGTCATATGTCTCAGGTACCATTTTTTATACCGTAAGTTACCAACCCTAATCTCCAATAGGTAATTTTATAAATAACAATTAAATTCGTCATGCAATTCTAACGAAGAAAATTCATTAAAAAAACACAATTTTAAAACTTTGCCGATATTATTTCGTTGGTATACTGTATTTATAAGTTTCTCAAATTTATCCTATGTACGGTACATTTCCGCGCGAATGTGCGGGCTACCTTCCTAGTTTATTAAAAGAGTACGTAGACAGGAAGCGGTTGAATAAATACCTAGCTATAAGCTTGAAACGACTAGAATTTATGAAAAGTTTACTGTTTATTAGAAGGATAAATCACACTTCTTCTAGCCAACCACTTCACTATTACCAGTTATATGCAAACCCTTCAGGATTTGTACGCATACAATATATGTTAGGTTAACATCGAGGCTATAGTACGGCTAGTTAAAGCTCCAACTTTAAATTCAGCCTCAGTCGGGTCCTAATTACACACACAAATCAACGCGCCCAACGCACGCAAGGGCTAATTAACCACTTTCGACCTGCGTACTAATCCTAACATAGCACTTTCGACCTCCTCACGTAGGCAAAACAAGCTAGCAGCATGAGCACAGCGGCATCACCTTTGCTCGAGCGCCTCAAGGCTGCGTACCACTACCACGCCGCCGTGGGCAACGTCCGCGCCATCTTCATTACGCTCCTGGCCGCGGCCGCTGTCGCTGCGCTGACCCACCTTGCGCCGGAGGAGGTGGTGATCGGCCGGCTACGGGAGCTGAGGACTGTGCACCTCTTCCTCGCCATCTTCCTCCCGGTGGCCGCGGCCACCATGTACCTCATGCTTCGCCCGCGACCGGTATACCTCGTCGATTACGCGTGCTTCCGCACGGCGCCCAACTGCCGTGTCCCCGCAGCCACCTTCCTCGAGTACGCCAAGCAAGTCCCGGTCATCACCGACCGCAGCGTGCGGTTCATGACGCGGCTGCTCGAGCGATCGGGGCTCGGGGAGGAGACGTGCCTGCCACCGGCGAACCACTACATCCCGCCGTACAAGTACTGCACCCTCGACGCCGCCCGTGGTGAGGTCGACCTCGTCGTCTTCTCCGCCGTCGATGAGCTCTTCGCCAAGACCGGCATCAGCCCCGACGACGTCGACATACTAGTCGTCAACTGCAGCCTCTTCTGCCCCACGCCGTCGTTCGTTGACATGATCGTGAACAGGTACAAGCTGCGGAGCGACATCCGCAGCATGGACCTGTCCGGCATGGGTTGCAGCGCGAGCCCCATCTCCATCGGCCTCGCCAGGAACCTCCTGCAGTTGGCGCCGCATGGCGCGCGCGCGCTCGTCGTCTCCACGGAGACCATCACGCCCAACTACTACGTCGGGAACGAGCGCGCGATGCTCCTGCCCATCTGCCTATTCCGCATCGGCGGCGCGGCCGCGCTGCTGTCCACGTCCCCGGCGAAGGCGCGGTTCCGGCTGCAGCACGTCGTGCGCACGCTCACCGCCGCGGAGGACAGCGCGTACCACTGCGTGTTCCAGGAGGAGGACGAGCACGGGAACACCGGGATCAACCTTAGCAAGGAACTCATGACCATCGCCGGCAACGCGCTCAAGGCCAACATCACCGCCATCGCGCCGCTCGTCCTGCCGGCGTCGGAGCAGCTCAAGTTCGCGCTCGCCTTCATCGCGCGGAAGGCGCTCAGCGGCAGGGTCAAGCCGTACATCCCGGACTTCCGCGCGGCGTTCGAGCACTTCTGCATCCACGCCGGCGGTCGGGCGGTGATCGACGAGCTGCAGCGCAGCCTCTGCCTCTCCGACGAGCAGGTGGAGGCGTCTCGGATGGTGCTCCACCGGTTCGGCAACACGTCGAGCAGCTCGGTGTGGTACGAGCTGGCCTACATCGAGGCCAAGGGCCGCATGCGCCGCGGCGACCGCGTGTGGATGATCGGCTTCGGCTCCGGTTTCAAGTGCAACAGCGCGGCGTGGGAGTGCATCTCGCCGGCGCGCGACGCCGACGGGCCGTGGGCTACGTCGATCCACAGGTATCCAGTGGACATTCCCGACGTACTCAAGCACTAAGCAGTGGTATTGGGATCCTCTGATGTGAAGTTAGAGAAACATGATGACTGATACGTGGACCCAACCGCTCACGAGCCCACTTACCAGTGACCACATCAGGAGGAAGTTCACGTAGGATCCGCTTCCTAAGCAGAGAGAGTAATCGTAATCCTATAGAATAATCGAGTTGTCGACCAAACTAACTAAACGTTGTAAGTTACTAAGTTCTTATTACTGTGTCTCCCTGTATCGACTGCTACAGAGTACATGATGCTGACAAGTAGTATAATATTGTTCTGATTTGTGTGGAATATAAAAATAATTCTCTGCTGAACTAAAAACCTTTAGACTTTTCTTAATCAAATGTCTGATTGTTCATTATCAGTTAGTCGTCAGCCAAGCATTCAAGGCTCCTTTTTGGAATACATGATTCAGAGAGCATAGGAGTAAAAAACACAATAAATAAAATGTCACGCCTCACTAAATCCAACAGGAAGTGAATTCATAGGAATTTGCAAAAACTGTTATTTGTTGGTAGAGCTATAGAAAAAGATAAAAAAATCTCTATACCTCTAAAATTTAACCCATTCCTTTTTTATCCCTAAGTTTTGCTTGATCCTATTCCTATATATACCATTGAATTTTAGTTTACATTTCTTTCATACCCTTTTTGTTAATTCACCATTAGTTGACAGTTCAGTATATATAAAAAAGCTCCATTTTACTCTTTGATACAAAGAAACATATAAATTTTATTAAGTATATTGTTGGAGTGCAAAAATTTGTTGTATGAGAATAATATTTATCAATTTGATATTCTATATATTATTTACCAAAAAATGATATTTATATATATATATGAAAAAGTTAATATATTTTTAAGTAGCACAATAGATTCTCATATCTTATAGGGGAATATATCCTACGCACACAAGCTTTCCATGCATACTCCATGCACACCAATTAGCAAATGTCACGAAAAATTCTACAAAAAGTCGGACACATACTTCCAATAGTATTACACTTACGTGTGAAATCTTGTCTTCAAATTCATTATATTTTAGTCGTAACAAAAAAAGACAAAATTCTGACAGTTTTTGGAGGTTTTTTACCCTCAAAACTGTTAGAATTTTTACTTTTTTTTGTTACGGCTAAAATATAATAAATTTGAATATGAGACTTTGTAGATATGTGTAATACTATTAGGAGTAAATATGACATTTGCTAGTTGGTGTGCATGGAGTGTGCATGGGAAGCTTGTGTGCATAGGATATGTCTTATATAACAAATATGTTATACTACTAACGAAAACATATGATAATTTTTAATAACTAAAAATATAATTAATTGTTTATGTCATATAAAAAATAATTCTTTTTTATAAATAATATCCAGCATAACAAACTAATAAATATAAATATGTCTCACACAACAAATTCCTATACTCTAACAGTATATAAATTTATATGTTTCTTCGTACCAAAGTGTAAAATGAACTTTTCCCTTGTAATTTAACGATCAACGAAATAAATAAGGTATGAAAGGATCCAAGCTAAAATTCGAGGGTACATATAGGAATGAGCAAAACTTAGGATCATACATGAGACTTGGTAAAATTTCAGGGGTATATGGAGAATTTTCTTATAGAAAAAACATAGGAATTTTGAGAGACAAGCAGAGAAAACATGAGATATATAGTCTATTGCTAATTGTCCTCCAAGTAAATTCCAATCTAATGAGATATTCTATAGGAATTTCAAAGATTTTGTGAACCTCATTCATTTGTTCCAAAGGACCATATATATGGATTATTTCGAATAATTTCTATCCTCCAAAATTCCTCTATTATTCCTTTGTTTCAAAGCAGCAATCACAATGTAGAATATAAGCTTGATTATAATATAAATAGGGACAACCACTATACAGCACCCAACGCGTTGTTCAGCCAAAAGAGTTCATGCTCAACTCCCCTCTCCCACTACAACTCGCAGTTCCACTCCCAATCCCACTCCCCTCTAGGTATAAAACAAATAGTCAAACCTTTACTAGAACATTGGTTCCGACCCCCACTTCCTTTGTGGTGTAAAACAATTATTACCATATTTACCTTCTTCTGTCGCTAGATTCTTCGCATATCCCCTCCAGTCCACTTCCTTTCCCTCCCATCCCCCACTACTCGTCAAAAAAATGGTGGGAGAAATCATGGAGTAAAGAGGAGGGGAGCTACCAAGATATTTTTTTACGTGACAGGGGAGAGTTTCGTGTTTTTTACATTAGGAAAAGAGAGAGCAGTAGAGGGGAGGGCACAGTTGGAGAGCCTAGTGACAAACCAATGTTCGAGTAAAAGTGGGAGTATTTCATTTCTACACTAGGAACAGGGCTCAGAGTGGGAGAGGGGAGGGGACCAGGACGGCTCTACAACAACCTCCTCGTCACCCACTAACCCTTATGCAACACATCAAATCAATTAATCACTCTACGAAGCATGATGCAATCAATCGTTGTTTCATCTTCTAATTTCGTGCCTACATAGCCCTTCGCCCTAAACTCTCAAGTCTCAACTATTTGTTTTCGTTGGTTATCACTCGACGCTCATCCCATTCACTGTGCCAATTGCTATGCCAGCCTATGCGTGTCAACGCCATGCCGTGCATGGTCCCGTGGGCGTGCGACGGCACCTCTGCTGATCTCATATGGCATGCGAGATACAGTGCCTACCAACCCGGTACCCTAGCTAGTAGCTAGCTATGGCTAGGCGACTCTCGAATTGTACTCTAACTCCTTATCTGGGATGTTCTTTTATGCCTTAATTTATTGATTGTACTCTATTTTTTTATGTGACTGTAATATAAGTATGATACGATATGTGTGCTTCTGATTATCTTCAACAAGCATCTTCATTAATTCCATCTTTATTCTAGAGTTGTGTCCGCCACATCGTCATACAAATGATCCAATAATCTACCCTATAGTTTAACAAGTTATTTTACTCATCATATGTGACACATCCAATGATCAGAAATCAGCTGATGAGGTCGATCCGACGGCGCCACACCTCCCTCCCGATCCAGATCAGATCACACACCTCCCTCCCTCCCCACCTGGATCACGCAGATCGTGCACCTCCCTCCCTCCCGATCCAGATCGCGACCGTGCCCTCTCTCCACTCGGATTGCGCTCACCCCTCCCAGGTCGCGCGCCTCTCCCACGCCCTAATCCTCTCTCCCTCTCACACGCCATTGCCGATCTCCGCCGCAAGAACGCCGTCGCCCATCTAACTGATCTCCTCTGACAACGCACCTCCGATGCCTCATCCTCTACCTCAAGCGCCACCTCGGCCGATCCGTAGAAGCATCACCGTCCCTCCGCCTCGCCGATCTCCTACGTGCGGCCGCCTCCTCTGCCTCAAGCGCCACCACATCCGATTTGTAGTCGCACCACCATCCCTCCGACTCGCACTCACGCTGTCCCTTCTGCGTCGAAAGGTACAGAAACCCTCCTCTCAGACTCACCCAACGCCCCGCCGCTGATCTTTTGTGAACAGTGTGATTGGTCCGCCGCCACGGAGGATTAATCGTCACCACGTTCAATCCTTTTCTTTCTCTCTGTTTCCTTGAATGTGTGGTGTCAAATATCTATGTCCGGGAGGTGCTCGATTAAATGCTGCATAAATAATCTTCCATTCAGTTCATCAAACAATTTTGTTGTCAGTGTGTGGTTTTGTACTCTATCTGTGTACACACCTAGGTAGTAATTTTGATATTGCAGTTGCATAATCAGATATATTGCCAGTTCAAATTAGATTGTGAGGGGTATTCCTGGATGTATGAAGTCCTCTGAAGGAAGAGTGTTTTTTCTCTGTGATTTTTGAGGGAAGGAATGTTTCCTACTTGACATTTTCAGAAAAAAAAACGTACTTGCTGCTGCAATTCCTTGGTATTTCCGATTTGCATGATTTCTTGTATGGCTGCTCATCTTCTTGAAACCTGCGAGTTAACCTATATGGCCTTAGCAGGGTCTTTTAAATCCATCAAAAGTTTTATATTAGAAATGAATTTGATGTTGTCACGTGTAGTGGTCAATACGAAATTGTGGAATATTTGAAAAAATAGAAACAAAACTCCCATAATAATTCCAGTTTTACTTATGCTTTTGATCCAAACTTACACTGGCCATTTATGCTGCCTGAGAGCTGATGGAGTAATGGTGCTCCAGAATAGAATCAAAATTTTTATAATTGTATCCAGGTAATTGCTCCTAAAATTAATTGGCTTCACCGGTTAGTACTGTTTTCTACCTACACATAGTGGCACACGGTTGCTTGCTGCCAGGTAAGGACTAATAGGTGATTTTCAACTGAACAATTGATCCAGAAATATTGGAGGATTCTCACTGAAACACTGCTAATTATAACAGTTGTGCTCTGAATGTTATTGGCTCTTTTCATTCAGTGGTTATGACTGCTTATTGTAATCTAAGTGAATTTTCTGTAGATGATGTACCCCATTTCCTGCAGTAATAATTAGTACGTCTGATGCAGTATGCAGCTATAATCAAGAACTTAACGGTGCATGTAGACCATCTGATGTTGTACTTCCTTTCCAGCATAAGTAAAAGGCTTACATTTATACTCAATTTACGTCTAATACACTAATTTCTTTTGAATCCTATTTTTACTTGGGACACTGTTGAGGTGGTACGATGTTGGAACTGCCATGGAGGCCGAGCTCCAAGTGGTCTACCACGTATTCATTGGCGAGATTGGCCTCAAGTTACAACTGTGGAAATTTAACATGTTAACTACCGACCTACGGGCCTGTTGACTTGGTGTTGTATCATATGTTTTTTACTAGCCCAAAAGTTAAGACCGGTTGATTATGTAAAACTGAATCATTTTAGCTTTGTTTTATCAGTGCTAAATATGTGATTGATGCGATCTGTAACTTTGGTCACATTGCCGTGTAAGATAACATGTGATATCTGAAGATAATATATAGTGCATATGAAAATATATTTATGCTTTTTTATCGGATTAGCTCATATATATTTCAGCTATTTTTTTCTTTTGACATCTGATGCTTTAGATTGGAAAAAAAATGCAAAATTAACTAGAACTACCAACTAATCAATAAGGCAATCTTGCTAAAAAAAATCACAAAAGCAACCCTGAATTAAATTAACTTAATATTTTTTTTCTTTAATAATATTGGTTCTACTAAGTATTGCCGTAGCGTTAGCATGGACAAATTACTAGCAACTTGTAATTAAAAAAAAAAAGAGTTCTTCACTAG